GAAGTGTGTTGCTGGCGATGATGTCGGCAGTGTTGCCGAAGCGTGTTGCTGGCGATGATGTCGGCAGTGTTGCCGAAGTGTGTTGCTGGCGATGATGTCGGCAGTGTTGCCGAAGCGTGTTGCTGGCGATGATGTCGGCAATGTTGCCGAAGCGTGTTGCTGGCGATGATGTCGGCGATGTTGCCGATGATGTTGACGGTGATGTGGCCGGCGATATTGGCGGTGATGTGCAGATACAATGGTTCTAAATCCTAACTTAAAACTATTCTTAACTAATAATATATGCAGGTGGGGCGGGGCCCCGTGAGGGATACCTCACACTTAAAAGCTCTTTTAATAACCGTATGTCTCATATTAACTAATGTAAAATTACGGTAAGAACATAAGAACAGTTAGGATTAAGCTTATGCATAAGAACTAATGTAAACCGAAACGTATAAAAGACGGCCCTTGAGCTTGAATAAATTCATTCAAACATTACCCTATTACAGCGGACCTCGTTGACAAGTCTTCGTCATATTTGATATGCTTCGATTTATAAATGGAAAATCGCACAAACAGACGTCACTCGTGCCATCAGCCGAATAACTTGGTTCGGCGTTTTTGGAGGTGGTGTCTGCATTGCAGCGAATCTAGTTCAAAAATGAAATTGAAAAGCTACATAAATCCTTGACTTTACAACCATGTTATCAGAAACTTAATCTATTTTTGTATCCTCATCAAGCTGGCAAAAAATTGCAGTTTCGTTCAATTATGTCTACAATATTTACATCGTTCAAAATGTCATGCAGGTCCACGTGACTTGATGGCTATTCTTCGGCAACAAATTTGGTTAGTGTGTACATTGCTTTCGTTATAAGCCAGTTTTGCCAACTCAAATAATGGGAAATATACCTGCTGATCGTCTTCATGGCAATAGGCCGTTCGAAATCGGTGGAGTGGATTTTTGTGGTCCAATTTATGTAACCTTAGAAATTAGAGGGAAGTCAGCTGTAAAGATGTACATAAATTGCCATATTTGTTTGTTTTGCCTCTAAGGCTGTTCCCATAGAACTTGCTTCAGACCTCACTTCTAAATTATTCATCATGTGTTTGTCTAGGTTTGTTGGCCGGCGTGGGCGTGTTCAGAAAATTTACTGCGACAATGCCACCAATTTTGCTACAGGAGTTCAAGGATCACTTCATTGCCAAAAAGGATGCCATAATGGAATTCGGTGCCACGCGTGGGATCACTATTTCGTTCATCCCCGCCCCAAGCGCCGCATTTCGGCGACCTCTGGGAGGCGGCCGTGAAATCGGTCAAAGGATTAATAATCAAGGCCGTGAGCAGTGCAGTGCTCCGGCAGGACGAACTGAGCACCGTGTTGGTAGAGGTAGAAGCCATCTTAAATTCGAGGCCCATGGTCGTGAGCAGCTCCAACCCAAACGATGGCGAAACAGTAACCCCCATTCGTGACAAGTCTGCCAGTAACAAACGACAAGTAGCTCAGCTTAAAGAGATGGTAACTGATATCCGCCGTCAAGCAACGGTTTTGGGTAGATTGACAACACGATTAAACTATCGTCGTGGTCCACGAAGACAACAGTTCGCCTCAGCAGTGGCTACTAGGAGTCATCGAGGAGGTGATCAAAGGCAAGGATGGAAATGTTCGAGTGGCAGTCGTCAGAGATAAGTCTGGCTTTTTTAAGCATTCCATTCGTCGGATAGCTCCTTTGCCTTGGAGCTCATAACGCCTTGCAGCCGTTTAACGCGGCCGATGTTTAGTCATTTCATTTCCATGGTTGAAGTCCTACTGTTTAGATATATATTTATGTAACTATAGCTAAAACAAATTCTTTATATTAAGCTTAAACTTACTCTTATTAAATTATTACTTTTAAGCTAAATGCGCTCGTTAATGGTCGCGCTCACTGGAATTCTCTCTTTGTTACACATATTGAAATTAGCAGTCTTACACATACACTCGCAATAATGCCAGCGCATTAGCTTAACAGCAAACCATTTGAAATTAAAAATATCACTTGAGAATAAGAACTGAACCAAAACGCACGTATTCACTTCGCATAATTAACTTGATTTCGGAACTGAAGTTGCTTGTGGCACAGGGCCACTTTATAAGGGAAAACCCTTTTTGGACCTCTTACAGTTTTATGCCGAACCGTTTTTGCTACAGGAGAAACTTGCAGTTTTTAAAATACTTGGTTACTACAGTAACCTAGAAAAGGAAAAAACAACCAGAAGTAAATTTGCTTTCAAATAAGATCGCCGATCCGCAATCCTGCAGCCTAATTTGCAGCTGTCGGTTCTTAAAGTTCTTAAAGACTTAATACTCTTGGGCGAAGTTTTAGATAAAACCTTTAACAGTTATTTTATTTTCAACAGAATAGTACACATTTTTCTGAACTCTTGAACAAGTTTTCTTAAATTAAACGATTTTTCTATTTATTTCCCATATTTTGGACGACTTTTATATTTATGAAATTTAATTCAAAAGTCGTTAAAAAAGTCTAAATTCCAAAAATCATCATTTTCTGATGAAAAACAACAATGTAATAATTTTATTTCCGTTATTTCTATATATATTATTCGATCTTTCCTATGGCAGCTATATGATATAGTTGTCGGATTTTAATGAAATTTTTTTCTCAATTCACGTTATAATTTGTTTTCCATTATATCTAATATATAAAATTCTCGTGTCACAATTTTTGTGACCTTACTACTCCGAAACGGCTATACCGATAAAGTGCGTTTCTACCTCATCACACTGACAAGCACACGCTATCATAGCATTTAAAATCAATTTAAACTGGGGCAAAAATCGTTCATCATAAAGTAAAATCATTAATTCTATTTATGAGTGTTTTGTCCAGTGAGCTATGCCAAGAAAACGCAAAGCGGGTACTTTGAGCCGTGATACAAGTAGATCTCGATACATGCGAAATAGAAGATCCGAAAGAATAGCGCAATTGCATCAAGAAGAGCCAGAAGATACACGAGCTGAACGCAATGAAGTCAGAGAAAATCCAGAAGATACACCACCTGAACCATTGAACGGCTCACTTATCGGCACGGATCCAGATTCTAACGTGTTCCTGAAGTCAATTCGAACATTTAATTCATGCTTTCAAATGACATCGTTCGAAGCAACAGAAATAGGTTGAAATACTAATGCAAATTGTCAAAATTACAATTCTACATTCAAAATTAGAGGCCAAGTTTATCATAAAATGGGCTCACTGCTGCCAATGCCAAATGAACAAAATAAATTCTTACAAATCTACTTTATGGGCGGAGAGGATTCCGGAAGCGCACTTGCCAATCGCGTGAATGCGCGTTGTGATTAAAATAACCTGGATTCATTTTATGCCAAACGCAATTATAATAACTTAAACATACATACATAAATACATATGTAAGTCTAGAACTGAGTAATTTTTGTACAGAAATTATAAAGTCATAATTTACTCAGTTCTAGATTTATGTAGAAAGCATGAATTAAATGTTCGAATTGACTTCTGGAACACATTAGAATCTGGATCCGTGCCGATAAGTAAGCCGTTCAATGGTTCAGGTGGTGTTTCAATTTCTGGTAGTTGCACTTTTCCAGACGCGCACCACATTCCAGCTGGCTCATTTTTAAATTTCAGAGCATGACATTGCGGACATTCCTTGTCCATAGCACCAATTACCACTTTTGAGTGAGCATATTACTCTATATCGGGCTCATACTGGAATGCTAGACGCAGTAATGAATTATATAAAAATGCTCGATGTACCTGTTGTCGTTGATGGTCATTTGTTCTGCCTCTATTGACTGTGACACGGCGTGGTTGTCGTTGTTCTAATCTTCTGACTTCGTTGCGTTCAGCTCGTGTATCTTCTGGCTCTTCTTGATGCAATTGCGCTATTCTTTCGGATTTTCTATTTCGCATGTATCGTGATCTACTTGTATCATGGCTCAAATCTCACTCTTTGCGTTTTCTTGGCATTGCTCACTGGACAAAACACTCTTAAATAGAATTCATGATTTTACTTAATGATGAAGGATTTTTGCCCCAGTTTAAATTGATTTAAAATGCTATGGTAGCGTGTTTTTGTCAGTGTGATGAGGTAGAAACTCACTTCATATGCGATTTTTGTTTGCGAACACGATTTAAGAGGATGAAAAATAGACGTTGGGTAATTGTCAGACTTACTCAATACGCTCACAAAATTTCATGAGAATCGGTATAGCCGTTTCGAAGGAGTAAGGTCACAAAAACTGTGACACGAGAATTTTATATATTAGATAGATATTTCGATCTTTTGTATGGCAGCTATATGATAGAGTTATCCGATTTTGATCAAGTTTAATCCGAAATTCATTAGTGGTTAAAAAACGCCATCTAGAAGAAATCAAGTCGATCTGATCAAAAACAACGGCGTGAAAGAACGGCGTTCTTTCGTATGGGAACTATCCGATATAGTTGGCCGATCCGGCCCGTTGCGACTTATATACTGCGTGCAATAACTACACACCTTTTGGGAAAGTTTCAGCAAGATAGATATAAAACTGAGAGACTAGTTTGCGCAGAAACGGACAGGAGGACAGACGGACAGACGGACAGACGTATTTCGATTCAGATTGTGATGCTGATCAAGAATATATATACTTGATGGGGTCTGAGGTGTCTCCTTCACTGCGTTGCAAACTTCTGGCCAAAATTATAATAACCTTTGCTCTGCAAGGGTATAAAAATAAGAGTGAATGATAACGGTAAAAAATAATTTAAAGTTTGAATACTCGCTAGGCTTGATTTCAGTCAGCAAATACAAAAAAATAATATCACTTGCTTTTTATTGGCCGGTAGTTTAATATTCATAGTACCCTCCCATAAAAATAGATCGTAAATCCTTACTTAGCAATCGCCCCTTTTTCTGTGCATCTACATTGCATTTGGTACGCCGTTTTCGTCCAATTCAACAAGTTCATTATGAACTTTAGTCAATTGTTAAATCAATACAAGTCAATTTGTTTATTAGGCTTTAATTGTTACATTTGCTAAATTGTTTTTTTCTAGTCTTTTAGTTCGTGGAGGAGGAATTGGTGGCTTATCCAATTTAACATTGCTAATCTTGTTAGCGGATTTAAATACATTACAATTAAGCACCTTCTTTCTGAACGAACACCCAAATATTACATTCGTAACATCATAATTATATATGTACCAAATATATACAATACAAATACATAATACCAATACCATTACTATCGCAATCACAAATGAATACTTAAGTATTTCATTTTGATCTGATTCTAAAACCTTTTCTGTGTTTATCAACTTGGTAGGTTTTGTTTGAAGGGGACGACTTGGGTCTGCATAAACACCCACGTTTGTAGTTAAGGCGATATCCGAACATGAACGAAATTCCTCTTGCGGTCCACAACCCATGGCTCCATTACCATCGCTACATACTCCCCAATTGTTACCGGCAACATAACGCCATTGAAGAACGCAGTGGTCGCATGAAAAATCTAAAATATATAATATTAGTATGATTTAATAAATCTATATTTCAGTTTAATTATGTAATCATACTTGGAAGCCGAGCATAAATTTCATATATACGACTTCCGTTGCGAGGATAAAAACGGGTATCCAGGTCAGATGAATATGGTTGAGACGGGGAGCCATCAAGTATTGTCAATATATTTTGATCCAAGCACAACTGTTTAGCAGTATGATTCGGGCACAATCGAAATTCGAAATACCTGCAAGAAAATTAGTTCAATAATTTAAAAAAGAACACAAAAAACACAAAAATGAATTTTTTTTACCCCATATGACTAGCAGTTAATTCTATTCGAACCGTTATTTTAGCTCCCGGACTATATCTCCTTACAATTAGACCAAGTCCCCATTGGCCACCATATTCATGCGGACGGGGTTCCGGCATATCCCATGCGTCGCCGCACTCTCCACATTTGCCACCATTTCTGTTCCACTGTCTGGTGAATCCGCCACAGTACAGTTCATGGTCATTATAATCAGGTTTTGTTTGAAATCCAAAGCGCCAGGCTGACGCTCTACTTGGCGGCTCAATTAGTCTTCCGTGACCATGGCAGGTTATAAAACAAATGGAAATGGCGAAACAAAAGCCAATGTACCATTTAGACATGGATTTCATTCTGTCATTTAAATTAAAAGAAAAGCAGTTAAAAATACTTGTAAATATCTCAAACCTAGTATAATTTTTTTATTTTTATAATGATGCCTAACAGACCACTACAAAGCTTATAGCTCCTGTGTTTTCTGCATGGTCCAGGGTTATCGCAAGATGGGAGACAAATTTTCCAAAACGAGAAAAACTGTAAGGTATAACTACCCATGGCATTTCTTCAGTTTTCGGCACGAATTATCAATGAACTCCTAAATAACAAGAAAGGAAGCTAGTTTCGGCAAGCCGAAGCTTATCTACCCTTGCAGTCATCAAATATGTCGAAAAAAATACATAAAGGCTAAACAACATCGAAGCTAAGACGATTTTTCTATTCATTTTCCATATTTTCGACTATAGATCATATGGGAGCTGTATGATATAGTTGTCCGATTTTCATCAAATTTAATTAGTAATTCAAGAGTCGTTAGAAAACTTTAAATTTCAAAAATCATGCTTATCAAATAAAAACCAACGATGTTATAATTTTATTTCCGTTATTTCTATATAGATTTTTCGATCTTTCCTATGGCAGCTATAAGATATAGTTGTGCGATTTTTATGAAATTTTTTTCTCAATTTAAGGGCTGTTAAAAAACTTGATATTCAAAAAATCATTCTCGTGGGATAAAAAACAACGATGTTATCAATTTATTTCCATTAATTCTATATATTTTTTTCGATCTCTCCTATGGCAGCTATATGATAGAGTTATCCGATTTTGATCAAATTTAATCCGAAATTCAATAACAGTTAGAAAACGCCATCTTGAAGAATTCAAGTCGTATGATACAAAAAACAACGGCGTGAGAATTTTTTATTTCATTCTCTCGTATGGGAGCTATCCGATATAGTCGCCCGATCCGGCCCGTTCCGACTTATATACTGCGTGCAATAACTACCCACCTTTTGGGAAAGTTTCAGCAAGATAGCTTTAAAACTGAGAGACTAGTTTGCGCGGAAACGGACAGACGGACAGACGTACAGACGTTTTCCGACTCTGCTCGTGATGCTGATCAAGAATATATATACTTTATGGGATCTGAGGTGTCTCCTTCACTGCGTTGCAAACTTCTGACTGAAATTATAATACCCTTTAGCTCTGCGAGGGTATAAATATGTAATTTTTGCAACAGGAAGAATCTAATACCAAGGAATCCAAAACCAAAACCAAAAAACTCCTGAAGTTTATTTTCTGCCGACGAATTTACCTTCTTGAGCAGTATGATATGAGTCCAGAAAACAAGATATTTTATAAATACCGTTTGTGGAGCATATCTAAAACCACTGGATAGTTGGTGTAGATTTTCAAGGTTCATTAAATCTGGGTTTTTTCGTAAGATTGTATAGAATATCGACATGAAACCTGAACACGAGTTCGTTTAGTAATAAGTAATGAATCAAAGTGGCGCATAGTAGAATTCGGCGGATGTTCATCCTTGCGTTGGTGAATATACGAGGTGTGTTCAAAAAGTATCGCTAATTTTGTGTTTTTTCAAAAATTATTTATTTATTCATGAATATCTATTTTGTCCCCTTCAAAGTAATCCCCATGAGATATTATGCACTTGTGCCAACGGTTTTTCCAATCTTTGAAGCACTTAAAAAAATCATTTTTTTTATCTTGTTCAGCTTCTTCTTCGATGCCGTCTTTATCTCGTCAAGCGTAGCGTAACGTCGTCCTTTCATGGGCCTCTTCAGTTAGGAAACAAGAAAAAGTCACAGGGGGCCAAATCTGGAGAATACGGTGATGCAACGATGTGTGAGCAGGGGCGTTATCGTGGTGCAAAAGCCAATTTTTGTGCTTCCACAAACCCGGTCGTTTTTGGCGGATTGCTTCGTGCAAATTGCGCATAACTTGCAGGTAATATTTCTTATTGACTGTTCTTCCCCTGCAATCCAAGAAAACTATCAGCAAAACTTTCACATTCGACCGAACTTGACGCGCTTTTTTCGGTTTTGATTCGTGCGGCAGCTTCCATTGAGATGATTGAGCTTTGGTTTCCACGTCGTAACCATAAACCCACGATTCGTCACCAATTATGATTTGGAGCAAATTTGGGTCGTCGCGGACAGAGTTTAACATCTCATTAGCAATGTTCATGCGATGCTGTTTTTGGTCGCAATTGAGCAATTTTGGTACGAATTTCGCGGCGACCCGTCTCATGCCCAAATCATTGATAAAAATCGAATGGCACTAGCCAATCGTTATGTTTAGGTCCTCAGGAACTTCTATAACGGTGATTCGGCGATTGGCCAATACCATTTTCTCCACTTCATTAATTTTTTCGTCTGTTGTTGAAGTGCTCGGTCGTCCGGCACGCTCTTCGTCGTTCACATCTTCTCGGCTTCGGTCCAAGGTAGCTTCTCCGTATGCCACAGTCAACATTCGGAATGCATTTCACACAAAATTTGATACAGGTTCTTTGATCCATTTTTTTGAATAGGTAAAAGTCGAAGACGATCTAAAACACGTGCAAGCAAAGCAGCTGTCAACAATTAAGTGAACATTCAAAATGGCCGATAACTGGTCGGCATAAAAATTTGATATTCGATACGAGGTAACCCGCGAAAATTCAAAATTCGCGATACTTTTTGAACACACCTTGTAGCTTCTCTAAAACTCAAGAAGTATGGTAATTTTTATACCCTTGCAGAGCAAAAGGGTATTATAATTTCAGTCAGAAGTTTGCAACGCAGTGAAGAAGACACCTTAGACCCCATAAAGTATAAACATATATTCTTGATCAGCATCACCATCTGAATCGAAATACAAGTATGTATGTACGTCTGTCCGTCTGTCTGTTTCTATGTAAACTAGTCTCTCAGTTTTAAAGCTATCTTGCTGAAACTTTCCAAAAAGTTGTGTAGCTATTGCACGCAGTATATAAGTCGGATCGGGCCGGATAGGCTGACTATATCGGATAGCTCCAATACAAGAGAATGAAATAAAAAAATCGTACGCCGTTGTTTTTCATCAGATCGACTTGAATTCTTCAAGATGGCATTTTCTAACTGTTATTGAATTTCGGATTAAATTTGATCAAAATCGTATAAGTCTATCATATAGCTGCCATAGGAGAGATCGAAAAAAATATATAGAATTAATGGAAATAAATTGATAACATCGTTGTTTTTTATCCCACGAGAATGATTTTTTGAATATCAAGTTTTTTAACAACCCTTAAATTGAGAAAAAAATTTCATAAAAATCGCACAACTATATCTTATAGCTGCCATAGGAAAGATCGAAAAATCTATATAGAAATAACGGAAATAAAATTATAACATCGTTGGTTTTTATTTGATAAGCATGATTTTTGAAATTTAAAGTTTTCTAACGACTCTTGAATTACTAATTAAATTTGATGAAAATCGGACAACTATATCATACAGCTCCCATATGATCTATAGTCGAAAATATGGAAAATGAATAGAAAAATCGTCTTAGCTTCAATGTTGTTTAGCCTTTATGCATTTTGTTCGACATATTTGATGACTGCAAGGGTATATAAGCTTCGGCTTGCCGAAGCTAGCTTCCTTTCTTGTTTCAAATTCGTCTTGACAGGGTCGACCGTTTTGATTAAAATTAAAAGATTCTAGCAGGGCTTCATTGCGATTATACATTGGTTTTATTGGAATAATGTAAGCGAACATTTAAATCGGCTGCACTGATTGCCCCAAATTTCTTTACATAAAGTCGGTCAAAAGAAACCTGGGTCGGTAGAAGAGGTAACAAAGGATTAGCCGTTTTCGTTTCGTTTTAAGTTAAGGGGCACAACTAGTGTGACGGCCAAAAAAAAGCTGATTTTTGGGAATTTTTATTAAAAAAAACTACTTGATCAATTATTTCAAAATATTCAGAATATATTTATACATGTTTTAAGAATATACAGTGAAATTTTTAAAGAAACAAATTAAATATTTTTGAAGTTAGAGCCGATCTCCAACGGCGCTAAAAAAAAGGGCCTTAACTGCTGCAGTAATTCCGGCCTTCTCCGTGGATGAAATTAAAAAAAAAATTTTCGTTCAACTAGATAATATTGTCTATACAATGACCTACGATAAATAAAAAATATCAAAAATTGACAAAATGGCGGTGTTAAAAAAAAAAATCGAATTTTATCCAAAATTTTGGTCGTTTTTGGCCTGCCAAAATTCGATTTTTGATCAGATCAAAAAATCGATAGAACGTGTTAAAAAAAACTTTAATAGTAATCGGATCATTAGTTTTTGAGTAATCACTGCAGCAAATTCGAAAAATGCTGTTTCGAGAAAAACGCGTTTAAAGATAAAACGGTCGTATTCACTGTTATACGAGCGGCTGCTATTAAAATTGCTATAACTCAAAAACTGTTTGAGATATCGATTTAAAATTTTAATATGTTATTTTTAAAGGTTTTTAATCTACCGAAATATCAAAGAAAAAAGGTTTTTTTGAAATGTCACACTAGTTGTGCCCCTAAAACTTCTTTTATGAACGAAAATTTCTTCGATAGATTATAGGTGCAAGCGCCGTTGCGGAGTAACAACGAAAAAACGGATCCTTCGTTTAACGATTAAATTTAGCTGATTTAAATGCAACGAACGAAAATAAGTAATATTGCATCCAAAAATCAAAAATAAGAAATAAAACCAGACCAGTTTAATAAGTGCCTTTATATTTCGTCTTTAGGTTCAAGAAAACCTAAAAATACCTAATATATGCATTTTACTTGGCTCTTACTCCCTCTCTTGTTTAAAAACAAATCTCCCAAATTAGAAGAAATCAATAAAAAATTTGAATTTTAAAATCACAACCAACCAAGCTGTGCACCACCGATCTTGTTTTTGAAGACCGTGACAAAGGCATTACCCAACAACTTCATAGTTAAAGAAAGAAGGAAGGGCATTCCCTCGGCGTTACCATGAAAAAACCAAACCAAAAAAGCATTTGAACTTATTTGATATTAATATTTGATTTAAATATTT